AATAATAATAATAATAATAATAATATTAATAATAATAATAATAAGGAAACACATGATGTACTGTGATGTGCATACATAGTCTTCTACAAGGTGCACTGTGATTGGTTGGTAGGCGTTTTCGAGCTTTGTGATTGGTTCACAGCAGAAGCCCTTTGAGTGTCAAGACATCGTGAGGATTTCATGTGTCGTAAYTGATACATAGCAAAAGCCATTTGAGTGTCAAGGCATCGTCAGGCTTTCATGTCTTTTGATTGGTTCATAGCGGAAGCCATTTGAATGTCAAGACAACGTGAGGATTTCACATTTTGTGAATGGTTCACAGGGGAAGAAATTGGAATGTCACGATATTCGGATAATCTATTAGTCATATATAAGTTATATTGGTAATCTGTAATGTACCTCATTTCCACCATGGGTAGAATTCGCTCAGGCCAAGTGAACGTTGTTTCGTTAAGCTTCAGATGATCGTCTTGGAGAAACGTGTGATCCATTAGAAACATCAACAAATCAGCAGCTTCTTCTAACAACGCCTGACAAGACAAAATATAAATGAGTGAAAGTAGAAAATGAATGGATAGAGCTGGGAGGACTGCTGATGGATGACTGGGTGAGTGAATGGACAGATTCAAGGACGGATGGGTGAATGGGTGGCGGATAAATGGAAGGGTCAGTTTGGTAGGAGGATGGATGGGTAAATTAGTCGAGGGATGGATGAATGAATGGAAGTATAAATAGTTTGATATTGAAGGATGGATGGTGTATGGTGTGTTAGTTGGTCGGAGGATAGATGAATAAGCGAGGTATGGATGATATAAATGAAGTATAGATACATGTAAAACCCAAGTCAAGCCAAAATAGGCAACCTCGATCGTGTCCCCCCACGTGATTGCATCACGTGATAAGACATCACAAGAACCCACCTTCAGTTGTAACAAAGGTCCACTTCTCAGGTTCTCGATGTAGTTTTCCAAATCCACCAGTTCATCTGTTGTCTTGGCCGGCGTGGTTATTCGAATCACTATCTGGTCGTATTGGCTGCAGATCGATCGGTTAAAGGCTGAACTCTTCTTTGTCAGATGTTTCAGCATAACATCTACAAGGTCTTCTGCACGCTTAATTAAAAACTGAAATTCGATTGAATTAGTCAGCATATATAACAAATAGAAATTGTACTAACCGACCAAACACTATTTAGCGACCAGTTGTCAACGTCCCAAAGAAGGTTTTTACAGTAAAATATACCTCTATTACGCGACCAACCAACCCCATTCCCGAGCAGCAACGCTTACTAATTCACTTTTTAAATCACTTTATTTAAGTGTCTAGTTGTTCTAGCGCTTTCGCACTAATTGGGGACACTTTTCGCTCACACGCACTACCACTACATTTTAATATTCCATGCACACAACGCTCAGATCACATGTTGATTTTTACGGAGGGAGGAAACCGGAGAACCCGGAGAAAACCYTCGTAGCATAGGAGAGAACAACACATCAAACAAACAACACATCAATTCACATGTGGCGACCGCTCGAACCAGGACCCGACCCGTTGGACTCACAGCGGTGAACGACGACGCGTTAGCCGCGAACGCCACCAATACTACCCATGCTTAATATTCAAAACTTAAAACGTGTTATCGCTACTGGTCACCACCGCAAGTACAGCAGTGGCGCAGTCAACGGGGTCGAACTGAAAGCATGTGAAGGCGCCTCTGGCAGCCGCTACAGAGTCCATGTGTGACCCCGGAGCACAGCACCAACTAGATTGAATCAGTTAGGGTTGGTTTGAGTGGAAGGATGGAAAAACCGGAGTACGTGATAGTGATTTTTAAAATGCAATACTCACCATATTGATGTTACTACAGTCAAGGACAAAGAGCTCCATGGGAATACACAGATCCATGGAAGCAGCAGCGCGCTTCAACACATACAGCTTCTCCAGCTCTCTACCGTACTGGGATAGCGTGTGTTCACCAGAGATGAAGTTCGAAGTCCTTCGGTCGGAATCCCGGTTCAGCAGGTAGCGATAAAACTCGTAGATAGACCTGAATCTATCATAAAAACAAGAAAAATACGGTTTGCGGGCGTGTTTCTAGGCCTGATACTTAGCGGTTAGCGATAAAAAATGTTGCTAAAGGTCTCTATTATATTTTATTCTTACTTGACTGGACCCTTTGTATTTTTGTCCACAACCACAGCAAGCCTGGCTTTAGCATCCAGTACTCGTTCTTCGTCTAGCTGTACATTAGATATGAACCGGTTTTTCATCCACTCCTCTTCATAGAACAGCTGATGTTCAACGCGCTTCAAGGAACGCACGCTGGTGATAATGGTGTCGATGATCAAGAACAAGGCTTCCGTTATGTCGGAAAAACGTGGATCAAAGGCTACTGTCTGGTCCTCCATGTCTGGGACCTGGAAAAGAATTGGATGAAAGACTGTATTACGATATAGCATAGCACATTTTTCGTGCTCTGTACTCTGATAGAGCATGCATGCGCTTCTTAAAAGTGACTACTACGTTATTGTATTGCAATATAGTATGACAAATGTTCCGTGCTCTGTACTCTGATAGATCAGGCGCTTTGAAAAAGTGACAACTACGTCATTGTATTACAATATAGCATGGCAAATATTCCGTGCTCATAAGAATACATTTCAAGGTCTATAGAGGATACCTATATTTGGCGTCACTTGTCTTTCAATAATGTGCTCTATACTCTGTTAGACCATGCGTTTCTTAAAAGTTATTAGTATACATTTTACAGTATATGGAGGATACACACTAACAAAGAAATAAAAAACCCGCACGAGTGCTTCGTGCAGTTATAAAGCACGCGGGAGTTGGCAGAACTCAAAAGAAGTGTTAGGAGAAACACAACGCGTAGCGGATCAACCAATCAGAACGCGAGATTTAATAAGAGCTATTATAACGTTTCTTATAACAATTAAAAGATATTTAAAAATGATATTTACTCACAACGGTCAGGACGAGAAGTTGAGGTAAGACGGGCAGACATCTCTCGAAGTCTCCCTCGTAGTCATTGCCTTGTTTGTACGTCTCTATGAACGTCAGGAAATCCTTGATCGATGCGTAAACAGTGCTTCGCAGATTGTTGGACATCAGGCAGGCGACAGATGCGAAGAAGCGGTCCATAGCATGGGTCCTGTATTCCTGTTAGAGACAAGCCACCGCAAACCGTTCCCATTAATGAAGTAGATTTCGTAAGGGACGTACTACTATATTTTTGAGGGGGGGGAGGGAGTTGGGCAATTTATTTCGTGCAGTAATTTTTTTACGCCTCATGGCTGTTTGGACATAATTTGGAATTTTTTTCTAGCACTTTTCTATGCACATCTTTTTTTCAAACTTTCAAAAGCTTTGCTCGAATTTCTTTTGGTTTTTGCCCAACCCCCACCCCCTCAAAGATCTAGTGGTACGTCCCTAAGAATTTAAAATACGGCAAATGGGAGACGGCACGGTCACGTTCCAAAGGAGACTGTTTCGGTTAAGGAAATATTTACCAAGACTGTCTCATTTGTATCACCTTCCCTTCCCTTACCTCGCCCTCAGGCATACAGGCCTCCACGTCATCTCTCCTGTCACTAATGACCTTAACGCATGTGGGAATCCACTTGTCTCTTAGGATGGACGCGCCATTTTCACAGGACTGGTGTACATGCTGAAGCAGTTGTTCTACCGTCATTGGAAGGGACGCCTTTATCCCTGGGATGTCTATAAGACGTAGCTCTGAATACCTAACGAAGTAGCAAGAACATCAGAAAACAAGAAAAGAAGATACTAGAATACCCATAGGACAGGATACGATTGTTTTGCATAGAGTTCTCAATTTAGCAGAAAWTTTACTGGTGTAAAGGGGAAAATGAATATATAATATACTGCTCGTTAGTGTCTCCGCTTTCAAGAGCTTTTAAGTGTGACGTCCCTCGTATGGTAAACCGACTTCCAAGTCCAAAACGAAAGAAAGTTCTATAAAGATGCTTTTAACATTTTCTTCGTAACAGGATTTTTTTGTTCAAAGTTTGGATTGTTTCTGGATGAGTTTAAATCACTGAGAACGTTTTTCGCTTTATTTTATCGGTTCGTGTGAGCAGTTGGACCGGGAAATACGTCACACTATAAGGTTTTTTACGCGTCACTTTGCATGCGCCTTTGTGCGCGCGACTAGACTCAACTAGCGCAAGCTCTGGATGCGCATTAGTATGCGTTATTGTTTCTCCCGATCTTTGATCATCATGTATCATCACTGGCGGTCTTTATCATTCATGTTCACCTAATTTAATCAAATAAAAAGAACGTCCAGGTTGATTTCTAGTTATCGACCCCGGCCGTTTCAAGAAACTTCCCCATGAGGCGGTTATATACCTAAACCACGGTGGATATGAGATATATTAACCTCGGTAAAGGTATATAACCTTTACTTAGGTATGATATACTTACTGCGTATGCCACAAGAAAAGTAGTTCCCTGAGCACCGGGTGGGTTATGTAGAGACCGTTAACTAGAAATTCCTTACAAGAAACGACGTTGTCGTGCCATGGGAAGCTATCACGACCAGCAGGATACACAACCTTGGGACATGACAAGCAAGAGATAGAGAATTTAATACAGTACAACTTCGATTCTACTCAGCGGCGAGTTCGCAAAGCCCAAACGGCTACCCATTTAGCGACCAACCTCTATTTACCAGTCCGCTGTCAAAGTCGCAAAGAGGGTTTTTGAAGCAATGTGTATACCTACCTATTAAGCGGCCTACCTCTATATAGTAGCAGCCACTGTTTTCAAAATTCCAAAAAGGGTTTTTGCAGTAATTTATAATTCGTTTTAGCAGCCAATTTACYTCCGAAGTCTCAAAGAGGGTTCTTGAAGTAATGTTTACCTCTATTTAGCAGCCTTTGACAATTCCCCAATGGTAACCGCTAAATAAAGGCTCTATGACTATAATTTGATCACGACTTTTATGTTCTGTGATTGTTCTATGAAGGTTTTATACTCACAGCTTCAGGCATGTGTAGACCCAATCTTCTTTGTTCAGACGGGTCCAACAACACGTAATCCAGGATTCCTTGTTTAACACTTTGGATGTAATTGTCTTCCATTTCCTAACGGTAAATAGAACAACATTCAACAATGTGTGCCTTAAATGGTTTGCAACCTGCCATTCCCAATGAGAATAAAGACACTGCAGCCATGTTGAAGGTAATGACGATGATGATGATGATACATGATGATGATACATGATGGTGATACATGATGATGATACATGA